ACAATGACCACCGGATCTGTCGTTGGTTCAACTTCTTGGCAGTGGACAAATGTTCTAGGTTACGGTGATCCGTCCGAACCTCCACCTTATGCCGAGCCCCTTCCAGATGATGTCGCCAGGTCTCAAACGCAGCCTTGATGGCCAGCAACTCCTTCTCCCAAATGGTATAATTGCGCTCAGAAGTTGTGAGCTTCCTGGAATAATATTCGCATGGGAAAAGAGGTGCACCATCCATTGAGGCTTGTAACAACACCACCCCAATAGCTACGTTGTCTTGACCACAAATGGATGATTCGGATCAGGATGCCTCAATATTGGTTCAGCAATGAAGGCTTTCTTTAGAGCCTCAAAAGCCTGTTGCTATGGGGGCCCCCACTGGAACGGGACCTTCTTGCGAAGGAGCTGAGTGATGGGATCCGTCAGTTTGGCAAAGTCCTGTAGTAATTAGCGAACCCCAGGAGACGTTGCACGTCCTTTACTCGATGAGGGGGTTCCCAACTATACAAGGCCTCTACTTTCCTCAGGTCCATGGCAATGCCCTCGGGAGAGATGATATGCCCCAAGAACTCTATGGAAGTCTGGAAAAAGAGGCATTTTTCCAGTTTCACATAGAGTTTATGCTCCCGAAGATGTTGTAATACCTGATGGACTTGACGAAGGTGGCTATCTCTGGACCGAGTGTAGATCAAAATGTCACCCAGGTGCACCACCACGAACTGATCAAGCATGTCCCATAAAATGTCATTCATTAAATGCTGGAAAACCGCGGGGGTGTTGGTCAACCCAAACGGCATTACAGTGTATTCAAAATGTCCATATCGGGTGCCAAACGCCACCTTCCACTCGTCCCCTTTGTGCATCCACACCAGGTTGTAGGCCTCTCGAAGATCGAGCTTGGTGAAAATAGTGGCCTCCCGTAACAGCTCCATCAACTCCGGAATGAGCGGCAAGGGATAACTATTTCTCACCATGATGGCGTTCAACCGGCAGTAGTCACAGCACAAACATAACTCCCCCGTCTTCTTTTTCACAAAAAGGATGGGAGCTGAAAGAGGAGACGACAATGGTCTGATAAATCCCCGGGCCAAGTTCTTATCCAGAAAATCCCAAAGAGCAGCCAATTCGGGCTCAGACATGGAATATAGACGACCCTTGGGCAGTGGGGCATCAGGTAGAAGGTCCACAGGACAGTCATAGGCTTGATGCGGTGGTAACTGATCCACCTCCTTCTCACTGAAAACGTCAGAGAAGTCCGATAGCTCCGGAGGTATGGAAACAGCAGGAGCGGCGATGTCCTGGCCAGTGCAGATATGTCTCAGATGATCCACGCACTGGAGACTTGGGAAGGAAATGGCATTCTGTGCCCAAGCCACCAAAGGATCATGCAATCGTTACCAGGATACACCGAGAACCAAAGGGAGATGGAGGTCCGAAGTGATATAGAAACTTATCACTTCCTCGTGATCCCCTATAACCATACGCAATGGCTGGGTGGCGAAACGAATGGGCCCAGACCGAAGCTCACGCCCATCCATGGTTTCCACCTTGATGGGTGGATCCACAGCAACCAATGGGACCTCAAAGTGTGTTGCAAAAGCCTGGTCCATAAAACTAGTAGTAGCCCCTGAATCTACCAACGCCACCGCTGGAATCCCCTCCTTCTGGGACTGTAAGAAAAGGAGGGCCAGAGTTCACCTCAGCAACTTGGGGTGGTGGTGTGATACATGCCTGACCTCGGGTTTCCTCGAGGTCGGGCCTACCCCATTTCCCCGACGGGCTAGGAGTAGATTCTGGCACTGGTCTTCGTGTTCCCCTCTTTTTACAAGAATTGGCAAAATGTCCCGGTCCCCCACAATAAAGGCACAAGCCTTCCTGGAACCTTCGCAAGCGTTCTTGTGCCGTCAACCAAGGGCTCCTCGGTCCTGGTCGTAGTTTTATAAACTTCCAATGGCGCGGCTTGCGAACGTGAATGAGAAGATGGTTCCACAACTGGCCATCTGCTCCTACGCTGTTGTAAACGGGCTTCAATACGCAAGCACTGTACCACTAGTGCATCCAAGGTTAAAGCCCGCTCCGCATGCACTAACTCGTCTTTGATGTTATCTGCCAAGCCCTCCTGAAAAGCATCCATGTGGGCTGACTCATTCCAAGTAGAGTCCATGCAGAGCAGACGAAACTCTGCAATATATTCTGACAAATGTCCCACAAACATCTAGCCACGGTTTGAGTCTTAATAGGGTTTTCAAACATGACATGCAATTGCTGCTGGAGACCCTGCAAATCATTCAACAAAAGGCCATCTTGAGTCAGTAAAGGAGTAGCTCATTTGGCAGCCTGCCCAGATAAGAGGCTAATAATAAACCCTACCCTAGCCTGGTCATTAGGAAAATCTTCAGGCCATAATGACATGAATAATTGGCATTGTCCCATAAACGCCAGGAACATATCTGTCTGTCCTGAGAATTTATTCGGCACAGATACCGGGCTTTTCCTCAGAGGAGGAGCTGGGGGAGCAACTGGAGCCTGTAATTGTGTTACATGATTAACCAATTGAGTTACCTGTTGTTGTAAAACCTGGTTAAGCTGCAAAAGTTGATCTATTTGTTGTTGCTGCTGCTCTGCCAGTTGCTTTAGTTGTGTTGGGTCCATCTTGGTTATAAGATGGAGTTTTGGCTTGGAGCAAAAATGTTATGTCTTACCTGTATCCACAGGTGAGCATACAAAGTTCCAGAGTTCAAAATATTCAAACAAGAACAAAACCAGACTTTAAAGAGTTAACAGTACTGTTTTCAGTCCTTGGCAGTCTTCCCGGAATCTGTCTGGCAACTCAGAATTGCTTATAAATCACAACGGCCGCTTCAAACGTATCCTTTCGAATCCACAAAGCACTACTCACATTTCACTTTGCTCCAAGCAAAGATTGAGAGTCAGCACACCTCCTTAAATCACCAGTATTGGCGTGTCAGTCTCTCTAATCAATGTCTGGCTTGACGCCTCCCTTCAGATTGTGATTGATGTTTCAATCTTCTTCTAGTTCTAGCATCAAGCCAACATCTGTCAGCTTCCTTCTCACTAGAAACCTCTGGCTCATTTTGTGGATCAGCTGCTGTCATGTACGAAGTCGAAGGTTCTGGAGTGGATTGTCTCTCCGACAATCTCTCACCCTCCTGGCTCACATCTGTGTCCTCTGATAATTCAGACTCCACATTCACAGCAGGCTCAAACCTTCCATCTTCAGAGGCATCAGAGTCAAAACTCCCAGCAGGGTCAATCCTTCCAGTCACAACATGTATATATAAGATGAACAATGGGTATCCAATTGGGGGCCTTCAGTACAAATGTAGAATTGCTCCAATTATTCCAGTCTTGATAGCTCCATCCCGTATCGCATCTATTATCTTAACTGTATCATCTTAGTCACAAATGTCATCTGTACAGACTGCAGAGACTTCTGCACCATGCAAAAGTAAAAATAAAAATAAAAAAATGAATCCAGGTAACAATGATTTCTTGATGCAAATAGATTTAATCTGTGATTGTGCAGATCCATGAGGACCTTGGTCTAAAATTCCTGTTTTTGACTCATACTTTCGCACAAAATTGTAAGGATTGTGGTTGTGGCTTATTACACACAGCCAGCTAAACTCTGTAATATAATGGTGGTTTTATTTATATTCTGTTTATCCCAGGGGTGGCATTCAAATTTTTTAACAACTGGTTCTGTGGGTGTGGCTTAGTTGGTGGATGTGGTTTGGTGGTCATGTGACTGGGTGGACATGGCTTGGTGGTCATGTGACTGGCTGGGCATGACCAACTCGACATCACTCACATGAAGGGGTGCTTCTCCTCGCCTGGCCTCTCATGACAGTGGGGATGCTGCCATGGTTGTAAGTGTGAAAAATGTCATAAGTCACTTTTTCAGTGCCATTGTAACTTTGAAGGGTCACTAAATGAACTGTTGTAAGTCAAGGGTTACCTGTACAAAAATACAAAAAGCTTCTTTGCTTGCAAAAAGCTGCCCTAAATACCAAGCATTAGATTAAAATACCTGAGAGCCAGAGTTACAAATCAGGCAGGGTGCCAGAGCACCTTGAGGAATTAAAATAATTCCTAAGGAAATCATCCAGATATAAGGAAAGATCACATGCCCCCCAGAAAGGCAGTAAAAAAATAAGTGCCAAGCTTGCATCCTGCCTCTTGGAAGTACACCCCAAAAGGACAGTGCCAGATACCACTAAAGCAATGAAGGAAAACCCCCTCCCCAGATAGAAAAAGAAACCATGAGGCAGGAAAAAATTCAAACACAATACAAATAATTAAATCACAACAGTAGCTGTTGCTTGTTAAACCAATTACCAGAACAAATAGACACAAGAACTAGACAGATTTCTGAACCCAGTTTCTTTTCAGGAACAGAGATTAACCTTTTCCCTTCCAAACAAAGCTGAATAAGGAAAATTTAATAAACACAGGGTTAAACGTCACCAAGCACAGAATTTAAACTTCACCAAAAACTAGTTTTAGACGAAAACTCAGAGTACATAGACTCAATCTTTCTAGCTAGCCAAGAAGCCTTGCTGAATGTCACTCATCTTGGTTCCTTGTCATTAAAAGCTTCTTTCTGGCAGCTCTGCTTCTTATTCAATTATTTCTTCAAAGTGCTAACTCCGACAGGGGAGCATTTCCTCCTAACAGCAGTGTAAAAAGCAACCCTTCCCCTTTAAGAAAGTCAAACTGTCAGGTTTCCAAGTGAAATGGCTACACATATGTCAATTTCGGATTCCACACAAGCAAAATATCAGCAAAGGAGATCCTGCTCAGGAGGGCTAGAAGCTTCCCACCTTTTTCCCTCTGGAAGAAACAGAAAACGACATTCACCGCTCGAGGCCGCCCTCGTGCCACTCGTCCCGCCCCTTCCCTAGATGGGGAGGAAAGATGGGAGGAGTGTGGTGGGTCGAGCCAGGCGGCGCGATCCGCGAAGTGGTGAGTAGAGCGCGCGGCTGCCTCCTTTTCTGCCGCCACAGTCGCCGCACCTGATCGGCTGGGGCTGTTGGAGCCGAAGCCGCCTCCTTTCCTCTGCCTCCAGTAGGGCGCCCGGCTCCCCGAATCGCTTGGCCATGGCTTCAACCGCCAGTGGCGTGGAGGAGGTGCGCGTCTCGGTGTTGACCCCGCTCAAGCTCGTAGGGCTGGTCTGCATTTTCCTGGCATTGTGTCTGGATCTGGGAGCCGTACTGAGCCCGGCCTGGGTGACGGCCGATCACCAGTCTTATCTGTCCCTCTGGGAGTCCTGCAACAAACTCGGTAACCTGGAGACCTGGCGCTGCAAAACTACCTTGAACAGCGGTGAGAGGCCCCGCTAAATCCAGACTGCTTTAGGTGGCTGCCCTTTCTTCCCCTCCCGCCGAGCCCAGAGCCCCAAGCCCTAGCCTTCTTTCGGACCCCACCCAATGCAGCAGCACTCCCCCTCCGATTCCTGGCCACGGTCACCTTTCCTGTTGCCGCTGTTCTTAGCCACGTCGCCCCACACTGGCACCTTCGTTTTCTTCTTCCCTTCCCTTCATCGCTTTTGCCTCTAATCCTTACCTCTGCGCTTGTCTTCCCCCAGGAATTATTCCCCACTACGCCGCCACGCGCTCTTCTCGAAATCCTTTTCTTCCCAAGGAGCTGTTCCTCCCATCTTTTAGCGCACGCCCAAGCTTTCCGCTGCTCGGATGGGCTTTCCATAGCTCCGCTGGCTGTTGTGCCCTTCTGCAAGCTTCCTTTTGCCCTGCCATTCGGATCCAGCGCTCGGTTGCCAGCCTTGCAAATTACCGGCGCAGCATCGCTTGTCTGGCAAGACCTTCTACATTGGATAGCCACTTTAAAAAAACACATTTTTTAAAATGATGCCTTCGGAAAACATCTGCTTTAATATATTTAATATACCATAAAATCTAATAATATAGCATACACTCTGTCTCAGAAATAAAAATGTTGGAGAGATTTGCAGGAAAAGAATAAAGTTTGCAAATCCTTTATATCAGGTGATCACTTGAGATACTTCATTTGTATATTTAATTATGGAATGAATTTGAATCCTGTCTGATCAAGTGTGCAGGTGGTTCAACCTGGCTGTTTCAATTCAGGTCAGTATTTATACCTAGCACCTGTTTAACAATTCCTAAACCAACTGATGGAAACGTTTTGGCATTCAGCTTCCTTATGTAGCCAACATAAAGTCACATTTCATGTTTTTTTTTCTGTCCATGTATGACATCTTCTGTGCCTCATTCCTCAGATCTCTCTCTCCCTCCCTCCCTCCCTCTTGGCTGATTGGTATTTCTCCTACAGTATTTACTCCAGGGTATCCATGGATGGGGGGAGAGGTGGGTGACTTGTTCCAGTGTAAAATGTGTATCTTATATTTTGTTCTGGCACATATGGAAATTTCTTGCATTATTCTAAATAACTTTGCTTGGAAGCTATATTGGAAGTCATTTTTTCTTGTTTATACCTGTCACTACTACCTGAAACATTTGGCCTGAAGTGTCTTTCTACTGGGTCCTTAAAAATATACATATATTTGAAAGAGGTATTACCTTGTACAGTTATTGGGGAGCCAACTTTGTATGAGACTTTATTTTTCTTTCTTCTCTCTCTCTCCCCCTCCCTCTCTTGCCCAACCTACCCCAACACTGAAATTTATGTAGGAATGTTAGCCCAGACATCACCTTAGCAACAGGGTTTCTTTGCCCCATTTCTTTCTCTTCTAAATAATATCCCCTTGATTGCACAAAATCTTTCAAAACTATTGCAAATGTGGGGGGATGGATGACTCAGTTTCAAATCTAGCATTCCTTTTCCATCTCCCACATTCTTTCCTTACCTTTAAATAAATTAGTAAAAGCTAAATAGTGATTAACATAGTGTTAAACATTTCCTAACTGTTTCTGATAATCATCCACCTTTTTAGCTGAGGAACTGAAGGTGATTGCTATGGGTGGTAGATACAATTATGGGCTCATTTCTGCATTTTCAAAAGGTTTGATCGTTGAAGAAAATGAGTTTGTTGCTCTGTCATTCTGAATGCCTTGCTTCAAAAATTTTCCAGACTCTGAAATTCTCTTAAGATATATTGTTGAACGAGTTTACTTATTTTTGTTTTGTTTTTACTATATCCTAGGATTTACAAGTTATTAGGAATGAATGTTGAAGCTTTGAACAAAAATGTGTATTGTATTTTGGCTGAAAGTCAGGTTTTGATTGCTCTCTGGAATCTGAATCTGCTCAGTTGATACATCTGCATGCATATACACATATGCTCACTCTTCAGCAACAGTAAATCCTGTCTATGTACTGGTAAAGATTCTTATTGTGCTTAGTGAGTAATGGATCAAGTCCATTATGTTTCATTAGGTTAGTTTACATTGATGCTTATTCTTCGTTGTTAACATTTTCTATTTTCTCATTCCCCTTCCTGCAAAACCTATTTTGCACATCAACCTGTTTCCAGGAAGACATTATAAGTTGTATAACAATTGGATATGCTGGAAAGGAACAGAGGTTTTCTGTGAAAATGGTTTTTAACTAAAGCACCAGAGCAAACAATATTGCGAGTAGAGAAATAGAAGGAACCAACCACAAGCACAGGGCACTGTCTCAAAATATTTGCTTTGTTTTCTCTTGAAAAACAGCAGCACAAGGGACCTTATCAAGTGTAGGAATACACTAGAGCCTGCTAAAGCATATTAAAGCTTTAATCCTCTCAATTAAACTTGAAGCCCTGATTGCTCACAGAAAGGGCAAATCCATTGTTTTGAATCAGAAATTGTCTTTCTCCAGGTTTCCAGTTCCCTAAGTAATAAACTCTGATCTTAAATTTTTTTTAATGCAGACTGAACATATTTCTATTAATACAGAGGAAGAAAAAGGTGGTTGTGTATATGCTTTAGAAGTTTAGATGATTTAGGAAAAGCTCAATTATAGTTTTTTTTTGCTGAGAGTAAGAATGACCTATAGCTGGCACTGGTGAGTAGGAATATTTGATAGATTATTAAAAAATACAATCCCATTTCAATATACCATTTAAAACAAAAATATATCATAAGGTTTTGATGAAAATCATGTATCTTTTAATTCAGAACACCCCTTTGATACCTGTGAAGTATAACTGTAAACAAAAATCACTAATTAGTTGCAGACTTCTGAAAAGTGATAAAGCTGTATTTCTTGATCCAATGAATAAATGTAGTATATAAACATAGGAGTAAGAGATGCAGCAACTTGATATATTTCCCTGAGTTTTTTTTGCACTGAATAACCAATAGCAACAATAGTATCTTCTTAAAATTAAGTAGTTATTTTTATAGTTTCAGTCCCTTAGAATGAACAGCATAGGACTATCACAGTCCCTCAGGGTTCAAAGCTATTCTTCATTTTCCCATTATGAAGAATTTTGCTCTCACGCAGTATTCTGAAGAAAATGCACAACCATGGTTATTGATATTTTATTATGAAAAGTTTGGTTACACAAATCTTTGAAACAGTTCAGATTACATTTTAATGCCCTTTCTTCAAGTATTCCAATGTGCCTCCAATCATACAATAGAATGGAATCTTCATTAATTTTCCTGGGATACAGTATGTGCAGGTAAAATGATATATCCAGTTATAGTTATCTAATAATATTCTGATAGCAGATTATCTCATCTTACACACAACTGCATGTTCTTTTAGAATAAAGAGATCTTCACAGATATAAAATATTGTGATGTTTGATCTCATTGTCAAATCTTGCTTAGTTAAGAAAGAGATTGGTTAGATTTAAAACAATATGTTCCTGATTCATATATTCAGCAGGACTCACCCAAAACCATTTTGTGGTATACTATGGGTCTGTTTGTGAGCTAATTCTTCATGAGAATACTTAGGAAATATACTTTGCCAATTCCATTAGTGAATCTTCATCCTTGCTTGATTTAATGTTTTGCATTTCTCAGTTTCAGAAGCAAGATTTCCAATGACTCTAGTCCAAATATGACCTTGGCCAAACTTCTTAGACACAATAGAAACAGTTTTCTATGCAACAGGTCTTGGGCAATGCCTTGTTGTATTGTGTCCCCTATTGCAGTAACAGAATAAGGCATAATGATGAACATGGAGGGTGGAGCTATCATTGAGATGCAGCAATACTACTATTGTCAAAGGCAATAAGAACCTATGAATGACTATCATACTGACTTAATAATTAGGTGTTATGACTCCCCTTCAAAATTCAAACGAACAAAACAGAAAGCAGCCGTTTCACAATTAAATCAAACGGAAAGAAGTCTTACAAGATAACGGCTGGCAGAAACCACAGCATAAATCTTTACTCTGTCCGGCAAACCAGTCCTGGCAATAAATCTCCAGTCTCAGAGCTTCTTGCTGTAACGTCCTCACTCAAATAGTCATTTTGTTCCTGGCAAAATGTATCAGCCCAGCTGTGTCCTTTTATACTCATTGAGGCAATGTGCTAATTTACTGACTTGCTCTCCTCATTCGCTCCAGCTGATTTTGCCTTCTCAACCGTCTTCTGTTCCTTACATTTAACCACAAATTTTCCAAGTTCTCATCTCCACTAGAAGACTCTCTCAAAACTTCCCTGTCAGCCATTCCTGGCTGTTGATCAAATAAGGAACCAGAGGAGGTCAAAGGTCCTGACAATTCTAATACATCAGGTCTGTCGTCCTTTGTCACGTCCATCTCCTCATCCTGGTTATCAGTCCAATCACTAAGCCAGGCCAGCTCATATTTTTCTGCCATGACCTCTTCGCTTGAACTCATATCAGTCACAGGAGCTGAATCCAAGCCCGGAGCCACAACAATTAGGCTTCTGATGTATAGTCATGATAGACTGGATGAAGAGATGAACTTCTTCCTTTTGGATGGCAATGTGGTAAATATATCAAAATACCACTACAGCATGATTGTCTTGATAATTTTTTCTTTGACTCAATTTGCTTTATTTTCTTTTATTCATTTCTTACTGTTTTAATACCCTTTACTCTTTCCTAATTAGCAGCTACTCTTCTTTAATTGTTTCAGAATACATACCTCTTGCATATGTTGTACATCTTCCTGGATTGTTCATGTTTGGACTGTTTTTGATTCAGAAATAATTAAACCATTTGAAAGCATAATAATTTATTTTGTTGGAACTGCTGCTGTGTAGCAATTAAATTTTAATGCCTCCTATACCTTTAAATATTTTTTAATTGGACTTCCAAAGTTTAAAAGATGCTTTTACTGCTAGTGATAATATAAGACTAAATATTTTATGAGGTTTATATTTAGAACCAAGTAGATAGCAGCCTTGTCTTGCA